GAGGGGGCTCTAGGCCGGGGAGTGTTGGATTCAGGTGGAAGGTTGGGGTGCTGAGCAAGCTAGGGCTCGTGGATGTGAGGGTGCAAGAGTTTGGGCTGGATATGTGAGGGACTCAGGGCAAGAAGTTTGGGAGTATGATGGGCTCAGGACACAGATTTGTGATGTGTGGATGGTGGATGAATGTTGTAGCAGAAGACTGAGGATGTGGGGATGCAGGAGTTTGGGGATGTAAGAGGCTCAGGACAGGAGGTTCCAGTGTATGATAGGCTCAGATTTGGGGTCAGGTGGTTCAGGAGTGTTATGATGCTGCAGTGAAATGGGGGTTTTGTCCCAGTTGAGGGCTTGTTGGCCAGGCTTCATTTTTAAATAAAATATATCAAATTCAGAAGGTTTTAGCATTGTCTTTATATATGAGAGGGGTGAGGAACCTGTTTTGAGTCAAAGGTCACTGACCCACAGAAAAGGCAGTAGGGGCCACACAAGTGAGATTGAAAAAACAAAACAAAAACCCTCCAAAAACCCCCAAGCCTCACTAATGTGGTCCCAGATGTGCTGGTGGGGTTAGGGAACAGAGTGCTAGTGGGTGCTGGGGCTGGGGAGAGGGTGCTGCTGGGTGGAAGGATGCTGGCTCAGGTGGCGGGGTGCTGGGGCAAGGTGCAGGGGCAGGCAGGTGGCAGGGTGCTGGGGTCAGGGACATGGTACTGCTGGGCACTAGGGTGACTGGCAGGGTTCTGGGACATGGTAGAGTGGATGGCAGGGGGCTGGGGCCAGGGCCAGGGTGGTGCTGAGTTTTGGGGTATGAGGCCAGGTGCTGGGGCCAAGGCAGTGCTAGGGTGGATGGCAGGGCTGCCAAGGAGCAGGATAGGGATGGGGTGTAGGATCTGGGAAGGAGGTGGAGGGCGGAAGGGGGCAAGGTCTGGGTGGTAGGTAGGGTGCAGAAGCAGGCTGGATATAGGGTGTCTGGCCAGGGGGAGGGAGCAGGAGCAGATTGGGGGTAGGGTGTCTGGTTAGGAGGGAAGGTGCAAGAGGGGACTTGGGTAGGAGTTAGACCTCCCTGATCTGGCACCCTCTGGACCTGTCTGGTCCAGATGAAGGATTTTTGGACCAGGGGAGGTCATTTCAGGGCTCCTGGTTTCCCCCTCTTCCCCTCGTGGCTCCTGGTCTTCCCCCGTCCCCACTAGGCTTCTTTGCACCTCTATCCCCTGCAACCCAACTGAGCTGCCCACTCCTGCTGGTTCCTTGCACCTCCCCCAAAACCATCCCCCACAATCCAAGGGGGTGCAGCACTAGTTCTCTGCAGCCCTCAGAGCCCAGCTGAGCTGCCCATCTGTTCCATATGCCCTCCCCCATCCACCTCAGCCCTTCTGAGCCCTGCACTGGTTCCCTGCATGCCTCCCCCACAGAACTGCTGAGCCATGTTTTCCTACACCTCCCCCAAGCCCTGCAAAACTGCTGAGCCAAGTGCTGATTCCCTGCCCCTCCCTCCCCTTGAGTCTAGCCCGGGTTCCCAGAACCTCCCTCCTCCTGCAGCCAAACTGAGCTCTGAGCTCCACACACACACCCCCTCCCCGCAGTCCAGCCCAGCTCCCCAAATCTCCCCACTCTGCATCCCAGATTAGCTCAATTTCCCTGCACCTTCCCCCAAACCATGCAGACATGCTGAGCCAGTGCTGATTCCCTGCCCCT